GGCACTGTGCCCTCACCGCAGCCGAGTCCCCGCTTTTCCTCCACCATCCCCGTTCTGCCGCGCCTGGGACTGCCCTGGCTGCAGCTACCGCCCTAATCCTCAGCAAGGCTCTGGTTTACCCATCGCCCCAAGAGCAGAGACCGGGAGAGCAACTGCTACTGTTTCTTCCACCCTTTTCGAGGCTGAGCTCCAGCCCAGCAGCCAGCCCTGCAGAGCGGGATCGGGGTGCTCGGATCTTGGGGGGACCCGGATGGGAAAGGCCACTGTGGCCACTCCTGGGCCACTTCTGAGCGTGTGACCTGATAACCTGACAGTGCCTGAACTTGCTTCTCCCGACAGCTCTCTCACCCCTCCTCACTCCTGGATTCAGCTGGCTTCAGCTTTGCTCTAGGACAAATAACACAGCAGGGTCACCCTACCCCAGCAAGTGTCCAAAGAGCCAGGCTGCCCACCCCTCTTCACACATCCTCTGAGACCCAGCGAGCTCACCCCTCTCTGCATCGAGATGGTGGGACACTGAACTGACATTACAAACAGACTCCACTTTTCTTTCTGATCCCCGTCTTTTAGTTTCAAACCCGAGTTCTTTTAATCTGTTTTTTCTCCATGATAGTGCACACTGCCAGCTTCTAAAAGCAGAAGCTTTTCCACAGTCTCGTGACAAGGAGATAAGCAATTGGCAGTGGATGAAACTCCCGGATAGCAATTGCCTGCTGCCCAACCCGGTACAGAACACCCAGGGCAGCATTTCCCTCCAAACAAGGGGACGAGCCTGTGGGAGGGCAGCCGGGAGAACCCCCCCACACCAAGCTGCTCCCCAGGGCCTGGGTGCTGCAGAGGAGCACGCAGGACGGCTCCCAGCTTCGCTGGCCCCTGGGACACAGCCTGGCAGGCTCCACAGCAGCAGCTCAGACTACCAGGACCGAAACCCCTGGGCAAAAGTTGCCAGTGACAGCAACAGCCCCCAGAAGGAAAACGGGGGCCTCCTACTCTTCGGCACAGAGAACAGGGAGGGCTTTTGCTGGGAAAACAATCTCTGCTGCCAAGTATGGAGAGAAAGTTTGAAGTAAATCAGGCCATATATCTCTTGATAAGCTGAAAGAGAATAAAAGCTCCCATCAATATTTATACTCAGCTCCTTAAAGATAACAGGAGTTCATTTACTAAATACCTTCAAGAAACCGAGCCCTCGGGCAGACATGGTTGAGAGGAAACATTTCAGCCAGGCAGGATGCTTCAGGAGTCATCTTAAGGAAAAGCTTCACAGAGGGGACTATCTCTGGAAGGAGCCACATGCTATAGCTCTAGACATGACTCACTGAGCACGGGAAGCCAAGCCCGAGGACAGGATGCAAAGTGGATCTGTTCCAGCTCCCTTTGGCTACAGTGAGGCTGGGAGCCATCCCAGGGAGAGCAGGAGGCTGCTGAGAGGTCAGACACCCTCCAGGCACGTTTCAGACTAGATCACTGCGTGCTGGCCAAGCACACAGTTAATTGGAGCCGCTCTGCTGGGCTCCTCAGCCCTGTGGCACATGCTGGGGAACAAGCAGCAGCGACCATCAGTGCAGACATCCCTGCTGCCTGCCCACAGCCCCCAGGGCTGGCACGGTGGTGGGACCTCACTTACTGCCTCCCCCCATAAGTCTACCCGTGTGACACAGCAGCAAGTTTCACCTACAGCTTTTCTCAAGGCTTACTCGCTTCAGGAACCACTGCCCAGGCTGTGGGAAGACCTTACCTGGGCAGAGCAGCCCACCCAGCAGACACCCATCTCTTCACCAGCACGTGAGGCTGAAGGCCTTCCATGTGGGAACTGCAGTTCTTGGTCATCAAGCCTCTGTTTCCAGTAGCACAGCACATGGTATCTCCTGTCTCCTGCTGAGATAACTAAAATGTAAAATCTCACTCTCCCCATCCGCAGGAAACTGCTGTAGGCAGTGTGTAGGGGTGTGATGATTCATTTATTCTGTATCTTGGAGCCCAACACTCTTTCCCTGAGAGCAGCACAAGAACGCACCTTGCCACCCACCTGAATCTTTGATAAAAGTTAAATACAACTACCTGCGATGGAAGCTGCTCCTCACACAAGCACTCCAGCCACAATCTGGATAATGTGTAGCATTATTAAAGCATCAATTATCTTTAGCACAACTGGAGCTGTATTAGCAGGACTGCAGTCTGCTCATTTTGATAAGGTTTGCTCAGTTCATTTATCAACAAAATGGGAATACCAGCAGGCCATGGAGTCTGCAGGTTTTAACTCTATTAGGATGGAGTTGACACTCACATCCTCTGTGCGTGCCCCATCAACTAGAGCATCCTGGTTGTGGTTTCTTTCTCAGGAAGAGGAAGGTTGGCACTACAGCCCATGAGGAACTAGTAGCCATTGCTGGCAGATACTCTCCAGCTATAGAACACAGGGTGAGCTCCCCGGTTTCCAGTAGGGTGCTTACACCTGACTGACAGTGCTCCAGGTACCCGGGCAGAGCAGCCAGAGAGCTCAGGCTTGCTGCTGAGTGGGTGATGTTCCCAAACAGCTCAAATTTTGCACCTCTCATGTGCATGCAGGATGGGAGCTTAGAAAATTACAGATCAAGACAGTTCTCTCTGAAGCTGGCCGTACACTAACACAGCTACAGGTGCCTTCCACCAGCTCTGGAGAGAAGTTTCCATCTGGTTTTAATCTCTTTTGGCTCTACCCACATGCACCAGTTCTCTCTTTTTAGAGATGCAAGCATGGCCCAGGGACAAGGCTAAGAAACTGCAGAAAAGCAGTTCTTTTTATTAAGAGACCTGAAAGTTCCTTCATAAACTCCACTAAGATAGACTCTTGGCTTATTAACAGCACAAAATCTCAAAGGGCAATAGACTTCAGCTAATGAATATTGATTATGATAGTGCTGGAGATGGCTGGTGTCAGTCGAACTGAGATCCTGTAGCCCTCTTTGCCTGAGCAGGGCTGTAAATTACCCAAGAGCTCATTTGTTTTTCAAAACTGTGTCGTGGAAAACACAGGGCTTACAGCTGCACTGCAGCTTTCACTGTCTCTGGCCTGGGAAACCACCCTAATGATAGTATCAGCTGACCAGCAGGGCTAAACATTTCTTACTGGTTTTTTAAGCACTTGGGAGCCTGTGGATCTGGCCCCTTTGGAGCTAAGTCAGGATTTATCAAGTCACTCAAGTGTCCAGCTCCTGTACACTGAGAGGAGCTTACACACAATCCAGAAGAGCAGAGGTGGACTCCCAAGAGGTTAAGACAACAGGCAGAGGACATGTGTCAGGCAGTTCCTAATACTCCCTCAAGATACTTGAATGTGTGGTGTGAAAAGTGAGTTATTTTACACACACAAGCCTGATTTCTTGGAGGACCACTACCAGCCTTCAACCAAGTGTACTTATGTCCCACCGACTGCCCTGGAGATCCCTTCACTTGGGGAAAGCCTGCCCCAGGCCTCCAGCTGGCATTTGTACTTCTCCATCTATTTATGGATGTAAATCTACACTTACCTCTATCCCACAATGAGTATCTTAAAAGTAAGAATCTAAGCTGATTAACAGAAACACCATGGTCACCTGGACCTTTCACTCACAAGATTAATCTCATCGTACTCTTGATGAGCAGCTCTATCTTTTACCTTCAGGCTGGGATGACTCTGAATGGCCTTTAAATAAATGAAAGCTCATGAAAATAAACCAAGGGCAGTCCACCGCAATACACAGAGACCTTATCACTATCCTCTGGTGGGGGAATGAGGCACTGACAGGTGGGGAGGCTGGGGAACTATGTCAATGTTTTCATAAAACTATCTTTTATGCTCACTGAAATAACCCAACAACAACAAAAAAAACCCAGAACAGCCCTTTCCCCCCTCCCCACATCTGATAAAAATCAAATAATAACAGGAGTGACTTATGCGCTCTCTGCCTGGTACTTCAATCTGGCCTTCCAGTTAATACACAGTATGATTAAAGCATCTGTAATCTGCAGTCTGTGGAGACCTGTAGAGCAGTAGCAGCAGCGGGTGTGCAGCCTGATAAGGGTTGTTCACTCAGTGCAGATGAAACTTTTAATATTTATAACTGCTGATTTTTCCTGATGCCTCCTATTGAGGGGAGGGGGGTGAAAGTTTAAAGATAAAAGCTTGATGAAAGACCAGGTGGAATGTTTTTCCAAGGACAGGCAGAGGCTTGAAGCTATCTTCACCTAAGAGCTGGTTTAAGAATGCTGCTTAGGCAAGTGCAGCATCAGAGATGGGGGGGTGAAGTCACTGGAAGAGACTAAAGTTCACCCAGGTTTTAAGCTGTAAGCTCCTCTGAGCTGTCTGCGGCTTGTCTTGTCTGCACCAAGAATGGTGGGGCTGTGCCTGGGACTGCTAGGCATCACCACAAAATAATTAAGTCACACCAGGTCAGCTGCACATACTTTAAGTGAAGTGCTAACAGCATTTCCAGCTCAGCACTGAAATATGCCAAGAGACCTGAAAACACCGTGTCAGCCACCGTCTCGGCATCAGTGGGAGCTGCAACGGTCAGCACACAGGGCACGGGGAAAGCACTTGACAAAATAAATTGGATCTTGCTCTAATATAGCCACCACGAATTGCAGAATTAGGATCCAGGCTGGTGAAACACTGAAGATGCTGGTGCCCTTTGCAGTCCTCCTCCTGGGAAAAAGCAAACGCCCCGTTTCCAGGAGCATCCCTTTTCCGTGTGTATGGACAGTATTTTACTCTGTAGCTGTTTGGTCCCAAGGACAGAAGGCTCTGCCCCGAAGGCAGCAGCTGCTACGTTCCACTACTGCCCACCAACTCCAACTGCCCACCGTGGGGTGTCCCTGCCCGGTGCCAGGGGAGCCCGGGACAGCAGAGGCACAAGGCTCATGCAGCCCTTCACACACCTTGTTGACAGAAAGACACTGTTTATCCTCCATCCATGTATAGGAACCCAGCCACACTCCCTCATTTTCAACACCAAATGGTTTAATATTTGTGTGTTAAAAAAGAATCCTAACACTCCTGTCACCATTATGAAAGATATGAATGACATTACCCACCAGTAATTTCAGACAGAGTAACTGGGCCAACCTGAATAAAACAAAAAGATGCAGAGAAAGGTATTCAATATATAAATTCATTCGTTTCAATATTCAATATATTCATTTAATCTGAAAGATGATACTTCTTTCAAAGGCAACTATGTGGTCCTCATTACTATAGCAATCAGAGCACTTCAAAATGTTTACCAAACACATACGTACAATGTCCATATGACACAGGGAGGCACATTTTAGAGCTGAAATAGAAGACCTGGGTGCACCTGAACTGAGGTCTCTCAAGTTGTAAGTTATCATCTCAGCCATTCTGCATTCCTACCACAGATACCAGAAATCAAGAAAAATATAAAAAAGCAGACTGGCCAGGAAGGAGACAGGACTGCTTTTCCACCAGAAAACAACAGAGACTTCTTTTAAAAAAAAAGGAAAAAAAAAAAGAATCCTGAAAAACCACCCACCTAAATTCAAAAGCATCAGGAAAAAAAAGAGGTAGACCTCTATACTCCAAGGACATGTCCACTGTTTGGAAAGCATGAAGAAAAGTGGATAAAGAAAACATAACACTTAAAGTGTCTCCAAGATAGCTGCAGTTTTCCTTGACTTAGACTTGTCTGCCAGAAATTATACTTCTTGGCCTCCACTTTGACTGTATTTTTCTCCTCCACAAAATACAATTTCAAAATATACAAGCAGAGTTAAAGTCTAATGAGGTAACATTAAGCTGTTGAAAATTATTACAAAAAAAAAAAAAAAGTTCCGAGTTTATCTGAACTCTTAATAAGGAGTTTCTCAAACTTGAAACCTTGGGAGGGGGGAACCAAACCCAAACCCCTATCAGAAGGAATTTCTGCATGACTTCTGGAACTATATGAAAAATTCAAATTAAGAAAACCACCTAGTATCAGTGGACTGGTCAAAACTTCCTCAGGACCTGGATACACACTGGCCAGAGCTCCTACAACACTTGCAGGCTGCAAGCAAAACTACATCAAGCCACTTATCATTCTGAAGCAAAACTCAAGGATTAGACATACCTCCCACTGCACATCAGTTGGCCACCCTAGCTACAGCAGTCACCAGCATTATGCTCATTTCCAACACTTGTGAGCATTTTGAATTACGCAACCTTGCAGCATGAGATGGATGTACATGAAGGAACATCAGCAACACTTCACAGACAGAATTACTGAGCATCATCTAGGAGTTGGTTTTGACAAACCAGAGCTCCCACCTCGAATGTGGGAGTGTTAAGACAAGTACATAGGAAGCTAAACATCCCTCAAGACATAAGTTTAAAAGTATATATAAAAAAATAGAATATCATCAGGTGTTTACAGCTATCTATTGAAGTCACTTGCTACAAAGAGGTTGCCAGCTCTAGTACAAAAGTAACACATCTGAAAAGTAAGAGCAGTAGTCAGAGACCACAATTCCCCCCAATCCCATCGAATGGCAGCGAGATGGTCTGTCGATGCAGTCACCGATCCCAGCCAGCACCCACAGCTTTGGAGGAAAGGGCTGGAATCTCCGCAATGAACAAGTCCGGAAAACCTTGCTCTGAGGAAAAATCCCTCCCAAATATCAAGCGGCAATATGCAAACATGAGAAACAAAGGAAAGTCCATCCATGGGTAGTAGCAGAGGTCACCAAAGAAGGCTGCAGTCCAGCTCTCATCACACGGAGATAATTCGAAGGCAGGATTGCCAAGCACAACAGGTGAGCTTTGTGCATGTCCCTAAGATCAGGCAGTTGTGCAGATGTGTTTATAAGAGACCACATTAATCTAAAGTGAAGTGCTCTGCAAAAATATCGTTTTTCTTCCCAAACAGACCTCGTACTTGCTCAAACTCCAGGGGCACATCAATAGCCTTTTTCTTTACTTCTTTATCAAAAAGCTACAAAGAAAAAAATAGAAGATATTGGCAAAACTCAGTACAAGTTCTTCATCCTAGGGGACACCACTGCTCACTCTAACTTCTTAAAAGATCCAGCAAATAAACCTTTTATATAAAAGCCAGCCCTGTCACCACTGCTACCTCATACTCTGTTATTTAGCAGACATTTTTCTGTCTTTCCCTGGCTCTGGGTAACAAAAAGTCAGTTTAGCTCCCTCCCCAGCAGCAGTGAACAAGACATGGCTATTGTATCCAGGAACCAGTCTCCTTCCCTCTGGTTCCAATCATTCACAAAGGCACAGCAACGCTACCTCGTAAGCAGAGAGCTCCAGGAGCCCTGATATGTCATCCTCTATTTCAGACAGCGACTGGTTCAGGACAGCAGCTGCCTTGGCCACATCTGGGTGATAGTGGTTTTGTAGAGACTGCAAAAGCAAGAAAAATAGGAAATGGTCTAGTAAGTACAGGGTAACACACACCCAGCTGGATTCCCACACAGGTATCTGCCCCTTTGCTGGTCAGATCTTCAGTGAGCATCACATTCTGGCAAAGGCAGTTTGTTGTACTGTGCTACTAAAGAGCTTCAAGAAATCCTGATTTCAGCCATCCTTCAAACATGTCAAAGGCCCCTCACCTGGTTCACATCCAGCTCAGGACAGACTCCTCCACAGGCCATACCTACAACGTATAACCCAGTTCTGCTACCTCCCATAGCCCTCATAGCGCACCCGAGCTCCTGCTCTGTGGGCTTCCTGCTCCTGCACAACATTCTTGTCACTGCTTCAGCCCCTTACACAAAACCCTTGTAGTATTTCAATAGACAGTGATAATCCTGGCATTAAAGTTTTAGAAACATTAGGAGTAGCTTAAACAATTTCAACCTCCATACTCTATCCTACAAATGATCCAGGTGAAAGGGGAACATGACAACCTTCTCTAGCATTTTTAAACCCATTTCTACAGGATGACTTAGCTGTACCCAATTCATTTCCATCAGCGCTCAGCAAGTTCCTCTCTCCCCTCCAAAGCAAATAAAAAGCCTCATACGTTTGCAGCTATTTAGCCTGCTTCAGCTGTTAACTGCACACTTTTCAGGTGCACAGTCAGATGTATGCTAACGAGTCACCTAATTATCATGTATGATTTCTCCAGAGCATGGAATCCTCTGCCTCTTACGTTAGGATAGAAAAGGATGCAGAGGAAAAGATCAGCCAGAAACTCATTCCATTTGCAAGGCGTATGTCAGCAGGTTCTCATAAGTGGGACTGCCCACTGCCATATGTGTCAAGGATGCAGCAAGGGTGAAGGAAGCCCGTTATCAGATGCAGATATTTCTTTTTAGCTGACATACCCGAATCTCCCAGAGACAGCTCTCCAAAGCCCTGCTTTTGGACGGGTCCTCCTCCTCCATAATATATGGATCTTCTGACATACCTAAGGAAACAGAGATAAAGAGTTAATACCTCCTGTGTGACGTACATAACCCCAAATGGAAGACAGACCCACAAGAGTGCTGCAGCCAAAGTTTCTCCTTTCCAAGACATTCAGGGTCCAGGAACAAGCTGACACATCCCAGCACAACCCAAGAGAAACTGCTGGCAGCACTACAGAACCATACTACTTTTAAAGAGCACAGGAGGTAGGACACAAGGAACTGGAATAGTCTGAAGCAAAAGGCATCTCAGGCAACTTTGAACAGTCACTACTGATGTTCAACACCGGTCTGTTAAATCAGAGAGACGAAGTAAAAACTCAGGAGACTGCTGAGGCCCTGGTGGGGCCACCCACACAGGAATACTACAGACAGAAATTGCGCAGTTCTCTGGTTTCTGCATTTGGCTTCTCTTTTCTTTACAGTCTTGAGACGAACAAGACAAGCTCAGTGTCTGGTACAGCTCTCCCAGTCTTTAAGCACTTGAAGCCTGGGTCAGTGTGCCAGGCCCAAATCAACCTTCACCTGGAGAATCACAGGAGCAGGGGAGCCAACTGAGGTGCCCAAGGTCAGAGAGGAGCAATGCAGGCAGAGAACTCGCACGAGCAATCTGCTGGCTTTCCACAAACTCACAGGACAGAGGGATCCTTCTAAACTTCAGAACAAGGACCAGGATCTCCCCTCCTCCTTCACAGCAATCTTGCTCTCTATGTTGTCTAAAGGCAGAACACAAACCTCCCCTGCCCACCTTCCCTCTCACCTTCTGGCCCATTAGGTCTGTGCACCAGCACGTTGCAGGCAGGGTGTCTCCGGAAGAGATTGCAGATGAAGGGAAGGACCATGAGCAGAGCCTCGGGAGGAGCAGTCAAGGCCAGTCGGGAGAGGCGCTTGATGAACGCTGCCACCAGGTACGCTGGCAAGTGGCTGTTGGGAAGGAGACAGGAGAAACCAGCCTGTAAAAGTCCTACCAAGTGAGCCAGCCGCCTCACCAATCCAAACAGCATGACAGGTTAAAGAGAAGCTGTCAGAATCCTCATTTCAAGCTGTAATATAGGGTCTTCTGCATTCTCTGGAACAAATCTGGGGGCATTTCCATTCAATGCATAAATAATCTCAAAGCACTGAGTCAATCCAGGTGCACGGCACCTCTCCAGGCTCTCACCAAACACAGCTCTTGTACATGGTCCTTCACAAGGACTGAATAAACTTTCATAAACTTCTGAGTGCTTGGCCAGGCAACCTTAATCATATTCTTCTAATATTGTTTTGTGGGTTTAATTAATACACAGGTCATGGTGTTAAAATTTACGTAATACCTCCAGGACTAAAGCAAGCACCACAGCTCTTAGTGGGAACATCAAGTTGCTGTAAATGTGCAGGATAGTTTGTTGAGTTTTTTAATAGTAAAATGTAAATTTCTAACAGCAATCCGCTCATCTAGGCACTTTCTTCAAGAGCCAGGATAAAAGGCGACCATTTTCAGCCACCCAGCCTTCAGCCCTAGGGCTCACTACACCCGCAAGGCTCAGCAGAGCCACCCCACAGGACATCACCTGTCAGACCTTGCTACTCTCTCCAGAGCACAACAGGAATACCAGGGGTTTGATTTGAAGTGCCTGTTGCCGAACTGTAAAGCATTACTCATGGTTTATTTTATAACATACATTGGCAACTATATGACCAGCTGCTTATCTAGTTTCTTCCCTGTGTACAATGAATTGACATCATCAAGACGGGTTGTCAAACACTTCATATTTCAATGTTATATGTCTGCAAAAGGTCATCAATTTATCCACAGCTTTATGATCTATAAAAAGCCTGCAAATGCTACTTTTCCATATTCATAAAGACAGACAGAAAAATCATCATTTTCAGCCAAACTGGAATACAGATCAAAATACATCCATAATCACTTGAAAATCAAACTTGGATGACTAACTGCATTTTTACTTTCTGAAACTAGATGGCTGTGTAGCAAATCTACAAAAATAGCACATGAAAAATTACACAACACTACAATAACACTCTTGGATTCAGTTTTCTCAGTAAAAATGAATCTAATCCAGTAGGCACACGGAATACATTATATCCAGACAAGGGGGACTGTTCAAGAACAGTCTCTGGCCAACAGAAAAGCAAGAGGAAAATATGGTTACATACGTAACAAAGGTGCTACTTACGATGAAGACAAAAACAGATCAACCAAATGGAAAAAGCGGGCTCGGTACTTTACATGATATATAGAAGGGTCTAAAAGACTGTACAGCTTTTTGTAAAAGTCAGGATATTCCCTGTTAAATAAAAGGAAAAAGACAACATCCATTAGTGATGTACAGTGGAACTGCACTGTGTCTAAATGGTTTTGTGCTTTCATTATAGACTACCCCAGACCACTGCTGTGCTCTGTTTAGCTTTCTTAGGCTTCTCTCCACAGCCACCACTTGAAAACAAGCCGTAAGGTGAATTTATGGCTCTTGCAGTGCCCAGCCATTTTCAGGATGTGAGCTATGTCCATTGACTGCAAATGGCACAAGATCCAGTGAAAGGCACACCAAAGACTACGGCTTCACTATGTAATCGGATCAATGGAAATTGATTTTCAAGCAGTGAACAACCACAGTCTGGAGAAGAGGATATTTAGGCTCAGCTGAAAAAAAGGTCAGACTATCAAGAGAGCTCAGCATCCAAACAGCTGAGCCTCTTGTGCAGCGTCTGGCTTTTTCATGGGGGAATTTTAAAGCCTGATGTTGTGTAGAATCCATTTCAGTTCCTTTCTATAAAGATATAAATGCAAAACCCCATGTTCCTTTAAACAAGATGCTCTTTTTACTTACAGATTATGCTGATGAATCAAAATAAATAATCCATTTAAGGCTAGAAGACTGATTGCACCACCTGTAAGAAAGTAGGCAGGTATCAACACAATAATAAGTATCAGCTTCAAATTGTATCTATTATAAAACTTTCCCACAAGGAACACAAAACTGAAATTAGAGCCAACATGATGGCTGCAAGGTAACACAATTTCATGTAAAACTATCCAGAGGCTCTTAAGTTAGTTACAAAGATTAAGCTGCAGTTTAGAAGAACAGGCTCTGAAGGACTGAGGCATACAAACACGCTGCTCTAATCCCCCAAGAAAGCCACACAAGGGAGGAAAAAGTCCCCTGAGAAAGGATCTTCCTGTAGGAAATCTGCACATCCCATGTCCAGATGCAGGCCAGGTATCAGCACTGCTAGCTGAACTCTGTATGTGAAAGAAATCACTCCAATATTCTACCCCTCCCAAAGCCTTATATGTGATCTTCCTTATATACAAGGAGCAACAGCACGACAAACACAGGCAAAAACTTCTTTCACGGACAACCGAGTTCACGCTAGTTCCTTAGCTTCATCCCAGGCAAAAGTATATCTATTTCATCACCCAGGCTGTGGCATTGCATCCAGCAGCCCTTCCAAGTCCATATGTACCATGCTGCAGAGCCTCAAAGAAGAAAAAGCCAGTTTTCACCCACCTATGCCATAGGCCACTGTCAAGAAGTCTATCATGAGAGTGGGTTCGTTCATGTAAGGCAGGATGCAGTCATGCAGAATGACAAGAACTTTTTTGTAAAGGCCTGTGGGTAGCTGTGAAGGACAAAACAATACAGTGGAACAATCACTGCAGGGAGAACTCAAAGCAACAGCAACCCATGGCTCAAAAAGGCAGTGCACAAGCAAAAGGGAATGTGCCCGGACAATACAGAACAGCTTACAGGAACAGTTCCTACATGGGAGAGTTTTCAAGTGACATTTGACAATTAACTTCATTCAAAGAAGCAGGTGCCCACAACTACAAGCGTCATCGCAGCTCAGAGGGGAAAGTCACCAGCAAAAAGGCTTGGGAACCTTCAACTTGTGAACAGAGGTTGTTATGCTGCAGATCATTCCTTACAGACAGACTTGTTTAAGGCAGGAAAAAAAGGCTGAGAGTAAGGAGAAGCAGACCACATAAGGTCAGGTTTCTTGGCAGGAGGACAACCCAGCAGAAATGGTGACTGGGCTGATCTCACCTGACACTAAAAGCATAGCGGGGTCCTGCCAGGAGCTCCATGCAAGGAGCCACAGCCTCTAATGACTGGCAATAAGAGAGCAATGCAGATCAGCAGCAGAAGTAGCACTCACCTTGTGCTTCAGAAAACTGAGCCACATTTTTTCAAACGCCTGTTTGTGTGCCTTAAAACAGAATCACAAGCACTGAGTTAAACATACTGATGTATTTTAAGCAGATAAAATTTTAACTCTGAAGCACCAAATGAACAGTTACCTGCAGCTTTGACACTTTCAGTTCCTCCCAATTATCTAAGAAAAAGAAAACAGATATTGAACTTAGAATGGATGTTTAAAAAAATCAAGATGACCCATTTTTACTCAGTTCTGTGATATCTTAAAAATTTGGCCTGCAGTCTTTGTCTTGACACAAGGCCGTGACAGACCTCACTGTAGACTGAGGAATGTGGAGTTTGTCATACCATTTAGAATCACTGTGATCAAAGAAGCAGACATTTAATGGAGTCTTTACATGTTAAAAATCTTAAATCTGATTTTCATTTTCATACACAGTTCATCATGTGGAGCTTACTAACCTTGCTTCACCATAAATTTGACCATGTCACTCTCTTTGTTTGGCATGTTAATGGGCGAAATGAGGGAAAACACATTCTGCTGGTAAAATGGCAGCGGCCTCTGAGAAGAAAAAAAAAGCACATCATTAAACATGAAGCGAGTTCCACAACAGATGGCAAGATACTGGACTTCAATATGGCCCTACTTCTCAAGCACTGAATGTATTTAGGAAAGAAAAAGCAAAGGAAAAATACTGATGGCTGAACTACATACTGGTACCTTCACTACTGCTGCCTTGTCCTGCAGTATTACTTGTTTGCCTAACACAAAACCTGTCTCTGAGCTAATTCTGGTTTAACAGAACTGGTGTATCCAATTGAAGAAAACAGACTCTTCTTCTGCACCAGAGAGAGAACAGAATTAAGAGTTGTGTGTGTGCTACCCAAGCTGCAGAGATTTGTGTAAAACAGAAGCTAGAGCCCAGACCAGGTTTTGCAAGAACAAGAGTACACACGTCTTGAATTACTTACAACTTCAGACTAAAGATAGTCTTAGTGTAACTGGCATATATTGTGAGCAAGATAAAAAAGATTAAAAAAAAAAAAATCAATGCCTTCAAATGAGCACACTCATTTCTCCTTCTGCCAGAGTCTTTCCATATACCACTAGTCCCTCCCTGCTTCATCCACAAGATACACGCTTCAGAGCAGTTTATCCAGACCCACCTCAACAATAATAATTTGTTACCTCTTTTGTCTTCTGCATGACTTGTCCAATACTCTCAGTCACTGCCTTTATCACAAAGTACCGAATGTCATCATACTCCATGTATTCTTGAAAGCGGGAGATCAGGAGTGAAGCGTCCTCGTTTAAGGGCAGTAAGCCATCCACAACTACCTAAACAGGTTTGTGAAGGAAAGCAACAAGTCAAGTGTCCTACAGTACTGGAGCAGACTGCAAGCTGTGATGGTCGAGGGCACCCTTCTGTCATTCTGAAAGGCAGCTCCACGTCTCTGCGCTGCTTGCCCCAGAGCAACCTTCACAAGCCATTCTGACAAGCCCTCCTGACCTCTAGGACAGGCCCCTTCTATCAACGACGTCATTCAGAAATGACACGGTGGTTGAACTGGGGCAATGTTCTGGCAAGTGAGACCAGGGGCTCCAAAAAACCTCCCCAGAACTGGTACCTGACAAACTCTCAGGAACCCAGCTCAAACCTGTGCAAGGCAGCTGCTCCCACAGCCGCAGGTGTCACCTCCCCAGGGACAGCAGCTCCAGGGGTGCCCTCTCTAGACCCCCACCCTTCGTCCGCACGGACAGCTTCCCAGCTTGAAATGTTAGTCCTGGAGAAGGTGAGCACATGAGGCCGCGTGTGCCACCGGATAACCGACGGGCACTTTTCAGTTCTGCAGCTTACCTTAAGAAGTTCACGAGGGAAAGTTAAACTCCCCTTCCACTCTACTTTGATCAACGGATACCGTGCCTCCAACTCCACAAACTTCATGAGGGTGCAGAGTGACAGCTCCTTTTTAAAAAAAAACAACACAAAACGCCCCACCTCAACAAGGACACCGGGGCTCAGACCCGAAGGAGACTTCTGAGGGAGGCAGAATGAACTAAGATGTTCTCCGCTGAGAAAGCTGCGTGTCCCCGACTGGCAGGCTGGTGAGCAGGGTGAGCCTTACGGCACCGCCCGCCCCCCCCGCACTGAAACCCGGCGCGGTAACCGCTCTGCAGCGCCGGGACCCCGCGGGAACTCGTGTCTCAGCAGCAGGCTCGGCACCCACCTTGACCTGGAAGGCGCCGTGTCCCATCAGCCCCGCCAAGCCCCGCACGCAGTCGTTGTAGCGGTGCCTCATCCACATCCTGTACTTCTCCTCCGCGCTGCAGCTGTCTGGGGGTGGAACACAGGCAGGGCTCGGAAGCTCAGCCCGGCCGGGACGAGCCCAGGGAGCCGCGGCCCAGCTCAGGGCCGGGCCTCTCCCGGGCGGCCGCCGCAGGGCCCCCAGCTCTGGACTCACCGGCGAGAGC